GTAGTGCGATAGGGGTAGGGCATTGTAGTGCGATAGGGGTAGGGCAGTGTAGTGCGATAGGGGTAGGGAAGTGTAGTGCAATAGGGGTAGGGCAGTGTAGTGCGATAGGGGTAGGGCAGTGTAGTGCGATTGGGGTACGGCAGTGTAGTGCGATAGGGGTAAGGCAGTGTAGTGCGATAGGGGTAAGGCAGTGTAGTGCGATAGGGGTGGGGCAGTGTAGTGGCATAGGGGTGGGGCAGTGTAGTGCGATAGGGGTAGGGCAGTGTAGTGCGATAGGGGTAGGGCAGTGTAGTGCGATTGGGTCACGGCAGTGTAGTGCGATAGGGGTACGGCAGTGTACTGCGAGTGGATTTTCCCCAATTTCTTTTCCATTCATCTCGCCATGGACGGGCAGTCAGCCGAAACGCTGAAGCTGCTCTGCAGTCTCCCCGGCATTGAGCAGACCATCCTAACCCAGTTGCAGGCAATCACGGCACACGTCAGCGAGTCAAGAAACCGAGAAGCGTGCCTAAATCGGCGTATTAACGAGCTCGCAGCCCAAGTAAGAGTATTACCAAAGAAATCTGAGCCCATTGATGGAGCCAGGGACACTATGTTTGGCGACAACCCAAACGTATCATGTGACCTTTCTGACAATGCGGATCACTGAGGATGTGTTATCTAATTGCCTAAAAATCTGTACTGGAAGACCAGTAGGGTTAAAGGGGAAGTCCGGTGAAAAATTTAAATTTCAGGGTCGGTAGAGTTTTGGGCGCTGAGTCGAATGGTGTTGGTCCCACGTGTCTCCGACAAAGCGTTCTCGAGATATTTCCCTCTTTTTGGTTTTGTTTGAAAAACTGAGTTTCGGGGGCTGCGCCATGACGTCATGCGGCCGCGCCACACTCTCCGCAACGTCATAGCGTGCAGCTAGGTCAAAAGGAGTGCGTGAAAGCAATAGTGTCAGTGTTATTTCAAATGATTTGGCGACTGATATTAGGTGGTTCAAGCGACCCCGAAGACCTAACTCATTGTGAGAGTGAGGATGCAGCCATGGCTGACCTTCATGAGTTTGGTCTGGGGCTGAGAACCTCGGTATTCAGCTGAAGAAATGGCCGCGCGGGCCGGTCAAGAGTTTCTACTGAGTTTCCGACTGATGAAGAAGCAGCAGACGAGGCTGATATAATTATAAGATCGCTGGAGAGCAGGGTCGCCAAAATGGAGAAGAGTGATGCGAGTACTCTAAATGTTGTTCCATACCGATTCGCTTAGACTCCAGTAGCCTGGCACATGGTGATGTTTTGGTGCGAACTTGGCATATTTCGGACTACTCAGTGCAGGCTCTTTGAACCACGGGCACGACTTCGCTCGCAACGCTATGGAATCTGAAAGTTCTAGGTCCGGGAGCTGTTCGCTGTTTTGTCACTTGTCACGGTTGTGCACTCACTCATCGCTGTAGCATAAAATAATGAGGCGGGACTGGAGCGGAAAACTAACATTTTCTTTCTCCAAGCACAACCACCGGCACCGGCAAGGAGAAACGCACGTTCGCTGACTACATGACTGTACAATACGACTAATACGAGTGTAGTACATGACAAGTCCGTGTGTTGTCTGTTGACTAGTTTTCTGAGTCTTGTGTCTCGAGTCTTGTAGCTAGCAGCACGGCAGTGCGGGAGTAGTTCCGTGTGATGAGTTTGTTGACTGCACTACAGCTAGCACGCAGCGCCGTAGAGGCCATTGCATGCTGACGGAAAAAGTCTAACTCGGAAACGGCTAAAATACGGTATAACCTTGGGGTTTACCGAGCTGAAAATTACAGGGTACGTAGTGTTTGTAACACTGAATCGAATGGTCTTGGTCCGAAGAAACTGCGACAAACGGATCCCCAATCGAACGCGCTCCGAATATGGCCATTTTGTACACAACTAGATGGTGTGGCTACCTAGCTGCACGCTGTGACGTCATCACTTGGATCTGGGTGATGTGCGCTCAAATTAGCACATGTTCGATTGGGCGTATCTGACGAACCATAGGCCGCAGCCTCCTCGGACAAAGACCATTCAACTCAGCGACCCGAACTCTACGGACTGTGAAATATAAATTTTTCACCGGACTTCCCCTTTAAGTTGTTAACGAACATTTAATTGTAACGAGTTAACGAATTTGAAAAAGCGTTACTAGTAGGGATGAAACGATTACACCGATTACTGGGTACTTACTCCTTATCTCTATGATCGCTACTCCTTATGCTGTTATCGAGTATGCAGTACTTGTACTTGTGCATTTATGTATGCATAGTACTAGCTAAGTCACACTGTCTGCACTGCACTGTCAACCCCAGCACTGCGAGTTACCCAAGGTGACAAAATTCACACCTTTTTCTAGTCACCTTCGCACCTTTGGGATCCGGTGTGTACCCCCCCCCCCCCCCCCCCCCCCAGGAAAACCAACTGGCTGTGCAGGATTTGATAGTCACTGGGAGTCGATTGAGGCGCCTGTTTGTAGGCATCAGCATTCGTGACATACATGTACATGACGTATGCTAGTAGTAGTACTGTGTTTTTACTGTATGCGCAAGTCCTTCATGCACTATTGTCATGTTCCGGAGACCAGTATCATTTTGATACGTCATACATATCCAGCATACTCGTTTTATGATAACTCGATCGTTTATAATAAACGGTACTCAATAAGAAGAAATGGATGATCGTTTCATCCCTAGTATTTGATATACTCGTTTTACCCCTAATTAATTGTACTGTCTATTATGTTCTTTTTTGGCCCAGACGAGCCCACACGAGACCAAACGAAGCTTGCTAACACCAGCACGAACAGTACACTACTTGCTATCATGGAGTGTGGCTGGTGCACTGTTCTTGCTCATGTTTTCTAGCAGTGTACGGTCTCGTCTGCTCCGAAGAAGAACGTAATTATTATGCCAGCAATTCTTTTTTTATAAATATAATAGGATTGAGAGAACTTCAAAATTCAAAAGATCTGACGGGGAAGTGAATTTTTCTGAAAAGGGAAAGAAAAACAATGGAGAGAGAAAGAAAGAAAAATGCCCCCCCCCCCCCCCCCCCACGACTTTCAGCCGGTACCTTGCTAGTGCTAGTCATCAGCCATGGTCTAACTGGGGACGGGGAAAAGACCCAACTGCAATCAGTGCAATGTCATATACATGTATGTGTGGCACGTGTTGTGAGCTGCCTTTGGAGTGAAGTGCTTGTCAGCCCCTTCTAGGTTCAGGCTGGTCCCGTAGCTCAGTTTGTTAGAGCATTGCTCATGAAAAGCAAGGTCCCGAGTCCTGGTGGGTTAGCATTTTTTCTCTTTTCAGGCAGTTGACTTCCGGCTGAACTTTCGAAACATTCATTGTTTTGCCTTTCCTGGAATGTTCAGGGTATTTCGCACACAATATAGAATGGGGTTGATGGTATGCCTGAATCCCCTCCCCTTATGTGAGGCAAAGGCCTGTGGAGAATGCATGAATACAAAATACAAAATGCCTCGAAACACTTGACACGGATTTTGGTCACACACTTTGCTTACATGTTTTGTATATGCTTGTGTTCGTTCATGAATGTGTTTGTGTATGTGTGCGTCGAAGCGTTCTTGTATATGCCGGTATTATTATTATTTATTGCAACATCTCAAGACTCGGCGGAAACACCGGCCAATATTACGAGAGTGGGTGATTGCCAACCACGGCGATAAATAGAAAGAAGGGGAGGGAAAAAGAAAGAGTAGCAAAACGAACAGCAACAACAACTCCGTAAAGAAAGATAATGTCAAATAAAAACAGTGAAAAACACAGAGACGCAAAGGACATGTGGATAATGAGCTATGCATGTCGTAGTAAATAAGGGGCGGCACGGATCTTAAACAGGCGGAGTGAGGTCAGGTCCTTAACTTCTCTGGGTAGAGTGAGCCAAACAGAATAAGCAATAAAGAGAGGGGAGCGCAAAAGAGTGGATGAGTTACACTTAGGGAGTAAGAGTGAGTTTCTAGTTCTTAGAGAAGAGAACCAATTAAAACACATGAGATGAGGTGGGCACAACTCAAGCTTAATAGAATGGACAAGAGAAGCCAGGTGTGCACTGCGTCCATGTGATAACGGGGTTGTGTGAGCGATTTTATAAAGGGCGGATGATGAGAGCATGCGGGGTTGACGGAGGAGAATTTTAAGGATTTTCTTGTGATGTATTTCAAGCTTTGCAGCAGCGGAAGAGGATAACCCAACCCAAGACGTATCTGCATAATGAAATATTGGGCGAAGGTAGGCGAAATAAAAAAGAAGCTTGCAAGAAAGTGGGAGGTAGGAGCAGTGGGGGGAGAGAATTCCTAAGGATTTACTTGATTTTTTACAGATATATTCGATGTGAGGTACCCAAGAGAGTGCAGAGTCAATCACAATGCCAAGGTGTTTGTGAGAAGACACTATGTCAATTGGATTTGGAAAGTTGGCATGGATGAGGGTTGTGAACTCCGGCTGGGGCGGGAAGAGCATGATCTTTGTTTTTGATAGATTTGGGGACAACCTCCAGGACGACATCCAGGAAAGAACTTCCTGAATGCCAGCACGCAAGTTGTTTTTCAGGCCAGTGAGGGAAGCTGATGAGGTGAGAAGGGTCGTGTCGTCAGCAAACAGAGACGTTCCAGGGAAGACTGCAGGTAAGTCGTTTACGTAAATTATAAATAGTAGGGGACCAAGAATTGATCCTTGAGGAACGCCCGACAATACTGGCTCTGCAGCCGAGGATGTGCCAAGCACAGTTACGTACTGATAACGCCCAGAGAGATAAGATTTCAGCCAGGAGAGTGGCTGTTTGCGTACCCTGAATGCATGCTCGAGCTTTGCCAAAAGTCCTCGATGCCAGACGGTATCAAAAGCCTTGGCCAAGTCAAAGAAGCAAATGCCAGCAAGCGCTCTGTTATCCCTATGCTGGCACACCTGCTGGTATGCATGTGTATGTTCATGCGTGTATGTGCATATCGTTGTTGTTGTTGATGATGACTTTCAGCAAAACGAGGTGCGGGTCTGTCCAACAACGCCATGCATGAAGCTACAAATATGACACTAAGCAGCGGTTTGACCAGAGTACGCCGTATCCGCATCAGCCTCTGTGGTCAGTTTGGAACCGGCAAGACGAGCCTGGTGGATTCGCTCAAGAACAAACAGTTCGTGGACAAGAGGGCAAGTACACCGGCACTTGCTGTTGATCATGGCAATGTGCTCCACGGATCAGGAAACCTGACGGATTGGAAGTTCAATGCTGCATTCCTCTATACTCCGGACATCCTTGTCCAGGCTAAAGATCTTGAGAAGAAACACCAGCAACGGGAACAAGAAGCGGCAATCCCGAAAATCCCGAAGCGAGCTGGGTCTACAGGCCTCCAGCATACGGGAACAGCGACGCAAGAGGCAGCATCGCCAGCAGAACACTCACCACGTCCAAGAGCAGCAGCACCCCATCGTACTGCCCGAACACCGGCAAACGCGGAGGGGAGCTCTGCATCGTCAGGACACAAGCAGGCGTCCAAGCAAACGTTAAAACTTGGCAAAGGTCCAGAAGCAGCACCCAGCTCAGCTGAATTGACACAGAGCCTCATCGATGTCATCTTGGAGAACCAAGAGCTGATGCGAGACATTGGAGAAGAAGAAGTGGTGGTGTCCATTTGGGATTGCGGCGGCCAATCAATCTTCTCAAGCCTGCAGCATTTCCTAATGGGTAAAGATTACGTCATCTATATTCTCTGTTTCAACGCCTCAGAAAACGTCCAGCTCACCAAACAGCAGAACTACTGGAAGTGGTCAGGGAGTACACTGTCTGAAATGACTCTGGACGTACCGGAGGAGCTGGAGAACATCGACCACATTCGGCACTGGCTAACAGCCATCCACTTTGCCAGCAACCCAGGCAAGGCTGTGGAAAGCGAGGCGTTTGACTACCCGCCTGTGATATTGGTGGGGAACTTTGCCGGCAAGCTGTCGACAGATAGGACACTTTCGGAGCACAAGGTTGATATCCTCAAGAAGCTGGGAAAGCTCTGCCGCCGGTCACCAACTTTCCAGGGTATGCTCGAGAGCGATGACATTGATCCCGCAGGGTTGTTCCTTGTGGACAACCACGAGTCCGGAGCTTCTCAAGAAGTTCAAGGAATCCGAAAGAAGCTACAGGATGCTGTTTCATCGGTGCTGGCAAACAAGGAGATTCCGACGGAATGGGTTCGCTTTGAGATGATAATGGAGTATCTGAAGAAACAACCCACCCACACTGGCTACAAAACACGAGACTCGATGAAGACACTGGTGGAGAAGGCCTGCAATATCCGCGACGACTCCGGCATGGACGGCACACTATCCGAATTCGAGCGTCTTCTTCGGTTCTACAACGACCTACGTGTCATCATCTATCGGCCGGCAAACAAGAACTCGCCGCAGCCTGATGACATCATCTTCCACAACACACAGTGGCTCATCAGGCAGATCAACGTCCTCGTCTTTGGCCATATGTACCCGGTTGAACCTGGCGGAGGTGATGGCAGGACGGCAAAGGAAGCAGGGGCAGCAGAAACGGAGTGGCGTGACTATCTGTGGAAAGAGGGTATAGCACGCCGGCAACTAATGGAGAGTGCCTGGAAAGCAGTCAAAAGAGAGGTTCGTAACAAGATGATGGATGTGATGGTCGACTGGGATTTTCTGTACAAATTCGGAGATGCCTCGCATGCAAAGTACTTCATCCCATCAGCTCTTCAACGTCGACCGCCGAAAAAAATCGAGGAGGCCCTGCGCAGCTTCCAGCAGGACAATGAGCCAAACGACGTCTGCTTCTCCACAGCTGACACACCGTTACTGATCATGGTTCAGCCACCAGGCAAGCCTGATGAACACGTCCTGAGCTACAAGTATCCCAACGCGGACACACCGATGCCACACAGCTCCTACTTCAAGCTACTTGTACGGCTCATGAGAAAGTGGGAGGTTACAAATACCGACCGGAGTCACTGTGAGCTCACCTACAACACAGCCAGGTTTCGGCTGTGGCTGCCGGAGCAGCTCCGTGACCAGTTCCCAGGCAAGGTGGAAATCTTCTTGGCTCACTACGACTCGTCAGGTGCCCTGCTGGTCAGCATCAACTTCCGGTGCTCGCCTGACTGTGCTGCTAGCGCCTCTAACTGGCTGCGTCCGATCTCATCGATATGCCAGCATATTCGCAAGGATATCATGGAGGAGTTGGGTAAGCTGGAGAACCCGAAACTGGACGAATCGGTCATGTTCAGTTTACCACTACCGCCAGTATGCGCATGCAAAGCACAGGAGTGGAAGGACTACAGCAGCGAAAGCCGGGACCTCGGATACGCACCGTGGCGCGTACGCTACAGCGAATCCGGTACTCATCACGATCCGTACTGTGCCGGGTGCAAGTCGCACTACAGCATACCCAACAACTCAAACTGCTGGTTCAAAGCTAGTAGTAGCTTCCAGGTAAGAGATGAGACCAAAGTCTAAACATTCTAGTGACCAGTGAGTTAATTCACTCACTCGCATTCCGCCGATCAAAAACCAAAAACCAATCTGCTTCACTATACAAATTTTCACATGGTGTTGTGCATAAGTTCAAGCTTGAACTGAAGGAACGAAATATATTTAGTCTCGTAGGACCCAAGAAATCGCCCTGCAAAAGCGCTTTTGGTTGAGAACTTTCTGGAAACAATTGTTGAGGTTAGGTCTTTATAAGGCAAAGTAATGGTGCAAAATGCAAGACTATGTCCAGAGCATTGCATATGTGCAATTTTATCAATTGTCAAAATGGCCGCACATGCTCCTGTCGGAGCGCTAGAAACTCTGTCCAAAGTGAATTTTGACCATGGCACACCAATCGTGATGAGATCCTAATGTTTTTCTCAGCCTGCCATGGTTATGGAATGCAAAATTCCATACTCCGTTTCCATGGTTACCATGGGCTATTGGCATGGAAAACTGTAGTATGCCTTGTACAATCACGTCGAAATTTGTGGACTCCTTCATTAGCCCCTTAGCAACAGTTTAGGGTCAACGTTTAAGCCAAAGTTAGAACAGAGGCCGTGCAGCATGTCTGTGTATGATGGTCCCACTGGTAGGACCGAGGTCTATGCAAGCTATCATTAGGGACTCCATTTTTTGAATTACATCTTTACTTATGCCTTTTCCTTGAGAGTATTTATGGTGTGTGTTTGGATGTGTATGGTATACGCGTGCGAATGGGAATTGGTACCTGTACACGTGCAGCTCGAAGGACAGCAGAATGCTGTAGCGAGGAAGCAAGTGGCAATCTGGAAGAAGAAAGCGGAGATTGCCAATGATCAGTCACTTCCTACGGTTAGTCACGTCTGTAGAAAGGTGTAGAAAAGTATTCCATTTTTAAAACCTTCCAAGGACGACGAGAGCATAGAGCATTTTTTGGCCCGGACACGTGCGTGCCGGTGTGTTATCGTGTGTGCTCGCCTTGGGCCTTGACCCTCGGGCGCCCATCCGTGATCAGGATGATAGGGGTGTTGAGCAGAGCAGAAGCGGGAGTACTCGCACGCACATACTCACGCAGGCACGTGTGTGAGTATGTGTGTATATGTACTTGTACTTGTACAATGGAAATATTATTATTATTACTATATGCATTTCCACGGCAATGTCAGCCGCACAATGGCAACCCACATATTCGCATATGCCGGAAATAGAAAGCTCTGCCAAAAACATAAATCAAATGATATCATACTTCAAGTATATATCCGTTCTGTGTAATCAAGTCAAGAGGAACATACGACGGCACAGAGTCCTCTCCACCTGCACGATCCCTTGCCAGGATCCGGAGGCGCTGCAAGTCACCAAGCGACACAAGTCTTTCATTATCCGCTTTCGCCAGGTCTTCTGACAGCTTCGTGACAATTGTGACACGTGGGCGTCCTCGCCAGGTCTTCTCATCTTGCGTGAAATACGCCGCCATTGCCAATGATGCTGGGGTGTCCTCTGGCAAGCGCAGAATGTGACCAAAGAGTTGCCACCGCAGGCGCTTGAGAATGTTGGTGATTGGCTCAGCTTTGCTCCATGCGTACAAAGAGACATTCGTCATCTTCTGAGGCCAACTAATGCCAAGGAGTGATCGCAGTTGCTGACGGTGGAAGGAATCGAGACTCTGCTCCAAAGCCACCGTCAAGCCCCATGTTCCGCCGTTGTAGGTCAGTACTGGTATGACAAACGCCTGATAGAGCCTCAGGCGCAGCTTCTCACTAATAAGCTCTCGTCGACACCACACGACAAAGAGTGACCTGGAAGCTGCTGTTGCGAGCTGCTTCCTTCTGATCACGTCTTGTTCATCACCCAGAAGTGACCCAAGCTTACGTGTCTTTCTCCAGATTTCCGCTAGACAATCCCCTTCTCTGCGTAGTGTTGTTTGCTCAGTTTTCTCTTCGTTCACTTTGAGATGCCATTCTCTGAGGACCTCAAGTATGCTCGGGCTGATACTGTCCAAAATGGAAATAAGATTAATACTAAGATGAGTTGCGTGGTCATTCTCAATAATCATGAATCTACACATCATGAAGCAACAATCTGTGTTGGTTCTAAGAACGTTTTCTGACGACAATCTTCAGCTTGAATACATCACTGAGTGGTGATCTAAGAATGCCGAGTCCTCCGGCGAATATCCGGGTATATTAAATAGGCTTATTCTACCGCAGTACCGGGTACCCTGCCGGCAACTTTCAGTTGAAATACTTCTCTTTCGCCAAATTAAAAAAAAAAAAAATTTAAAAATTTGGTTATGTTGACGTTTAAAAAAATTCTAAATGTAGCGTTGACATTAGAGTGTGTTTAACACATGTAAAACTAAAGAGAGAAAGAGAAACGGTGGACAAAACCAACAGTGATATGCAACACACAGCTACGGTGCTCAGGAAAGACCGTGGTGTTGTGACGTAATCCTTCTGAAGGCAGACGTCTGGTTTCTGTTCGTGGATGTAGTCGATTAATTAAAATAACCACGCGGCTCGTCTTGTTTAAAGTGTCTCCTCGTCGACACTTGTACTTGCTCACTGCCATCATGCAATGTTTTCCTGCTGGTTGTTCACCAGCAGCTGAGAGGTCATATATAGGAGTTTTGATTTCCGCTTGCCGCTGGACATGGAAACGAGCACAGAGTTGACTGGTCTCAGAAGCAAAAAATGAGCGGTAGCGGCGATAGAAATAACAGAGACACAGGTCAACTTCAGCTTCTCCTCTAGAAAGCGAAAACTACAAACGCAGCGACAAGTAACTTAGTTGAAATAAATAATATAATCTCACCCGCGCGCTCCCAGTTAAAATAATGCTGTGTTTACTGGTCAGTTCATGCTGCCACTGGAAACACGACAAGCGCAGGTGACACGACTTTTGTTTGTCACCCCTTGGCCAAGTAACTACATGTATGCGTTGCCAAGAAGCAGTGACGTCAGACTTCGACGGCCTATTGTTATTTACAATGACCGCCATCCATTGGGTGCGTTGCTAATCGTTACCTCAAGTTGACTACCTGGAATTCTGTGTTTAATTCTGTGCCGAGAAGACGGCAGGTCTATTGTGTTTATTGCTTCCTATCAACCGATTGTTCATTTTAAAATCAGGTTGCTTCACAAAAGCCTGCGAAGAATTGTGTTCCACTCATTGTGTATGAACTTAGAAGTCGCGACTTCGGCGGCGGTCATCTTCATTGTGTATGTTTAAAATTCTTCTGTTCATCCATTTTCTTGTGTTATTTTTCAGGAGGTGAAGAAGTTCCTTGCTGACCGTGCGGACAAGTGTCTGTGTATGCTGGCTGGAAGCAGAGATACACTTGCCGTGGCATCATCGTCGTTCGGCACTATCGAGCTGGCTGTGGGTCTGGCCGAGTTATGGATGCTGTGCTGCCAGTATGTCGGTGCTGGGCATTCGGATGTGATCCTGCGTGTTGCTCGGATGTGCGACACTTTGCAGAGCGAAGATGAGCTTGTTCATGTTCTAAGTCACTTCTGTCAGGAGAAACAGTGTGGCGGTTCTGAGCAGTGAGTAAAAATATAAAATAATGCCAGTACACTCGCACCTCTGCTACCCGGACCTCGAAGTTATGGACAGCTTGTTCTATTGCAGTACAGGACACCCTGTCGGCAAATTCCAGTTGAAATACTACTCTTTTGCCAATATTTGCAACACTGTGTCACCTTTGGCATGCATGGGTTTGTGTGTGTGTGTGTGTGTGTGTGTGTGTGTGTGTGTGCGTGTGTGTTCGCGTGTGCGTGTGTTTGTGTGTGTGTGTGTGTCCCATATGGTGCAGTGGTATGTGCAGCGATTTCCGATCAAGAGGTTGCGGGTTCGATTCCCGACGATTATGGTCACACACGTCTTTCTTCTCTTTCTCAGACTCCTCCTGACTTTCCTTTATTCTCCTGGGTGGTTACCAACAGCCAGTGCATGCCGGAGTATGTGGTGTGATGTGTGTGCGGGAAAGAAAAGGAAGAAAGACCAAAAAGTAGGGATTCACTGGCCAGAAAAAGCCACTTCATAGCTATGTTGTGTAGACCAGGCTGAATAGTGGTGTTCAATTCTTCAGCCTCGTAAGCTGTTGAATGGTGCAATCGCAGCACAAGTTGCTATGGCTTCTACTGTAGCATCACTATCATCGCCTCCAGCGATGGGCGCCAAATGGTCATGGTCAAGGGTGTGTTTGTTGGTGTATGCGTGTATGCGTACATGTGTTTTTGTATGTGCACTTGCAGGACATTGAAGGTTTCCATCATGTCACCTCTTGTCGCAAGGAAAAGATGCCAGCAGTACCCGCGTCCGTTGTGGTGCTTCTTGCTGCTCAAGCACTTCTTTTATCATCAAGAAGAAGGGCATAGATGTTAGCAATCAAATCGGTGATTTGCCAGCTATCGACTCGAGCCTAGCGAGCTGGAGCTGGATTGCTCCTGCGGTTTCTCCTCCTGCCAGTGTCCAGGCCACATTGCCTGCTCCTGCCAGAGTCCCGGCCTTGCTACCTGCTGCATCAGGCATGGATATGCCACCAACTAGCAGGGGCATGTGAGCTATTGCCGGCAGTTTGACCGCGATCTCGTCTGTCTCTGTCTGTTGACAGATGCAGTATTATTATTATTATTATTCCCTCAAATGATGAAGTAGGTTATTCGTGCGTGGAACACACGCTTCCTGCCGAACTTGACACTAAGTTCCCTCAAATGATGAATGTTTTTAATCAATCGTGACTTGATAGTTTTGATTGCACTACAGCAATGCCATGGTGGCAGCAATTCAAGAATAATTTCTTCTTGATGACATTGGTGTTGTTTCCCAGCGCAAACATACAGCAATTTTGGCATTATAATTCAACCCTTTTATGAATTATCCCCAGACTTTTTTCCGTTTTAAATACCCTTGACAAATGAATATTTTTTAATCAATACTTTGAATTCCTTGACTGTCGTGCATTTCAATATCAAGAATTCACGTGACATACCACACTGTCTGTGAACGGACGATCAGTGGAAACACAATCCATACGAGACGGCACTGCGCAGTGCGTCAGAAGCCATTCAACATTGGTGCGGCCATGAATGCTTCCTTATTGACCATGGGCCATCGTGGAAATAAAGAAGAGGTTCAGGGTCCGGGGATCCTCCCCTGGGAGAATATTAGGGAAATTGGTCCGAATAGCCCATTATTATTATCATTTCATTGCTTCACAAGGCACGAGATGAAATTATTGGTGTGGCTTTGGCCGCACCTGCCGCACCGGTTCCGACGCCGCTGGTGCAGGTAACGTGGCATTAGTTGTGAAACCGTTTCATAATTAAAAAGATAAATTCAAAACCGGTTCAAGCTACCGTACGAGGAAGGCGAACACATGTTCAGATTAAACTCGGATGGAGAAGCAAGGATTGAAACTCAAAGGTTTACAACTGTGAAGATTTCTCATAAATCTTTGGTCCATTCTTTCCAAGTTTGATATTGTTCAGTTTTGCTTTGTTCTTCTCTAGCGGGTATACCAGCCATAGCTGCATACTGGTAAGCTAGTGTTAGGGTGAGGGCATGGCCAGTATGAAGCACTATGTGTTACAAGAACCAGGATACTGCACTGGTGGGCGCGAGAGAGAGGGGGGGGGGGGGGGGGAGGGGGTAAAGACGAAAAGCGACGAGAGAGCAAACTCAGCAACCTTCGCTATGCTCGTTTATCATGCATGCTTTTATTTGCTGAGCTAGCTAGTCAAGCTGGTGCTATGTCGCGTGTCATGGTTAGACGCGTGCGGCAGGCCTGGCGCGCTGCCTGCGCCAGCCTTTGTGCCCTGTCGCGTGTGATGACGGACGTACGAGGTACGACACACACACACACACACACACAGACATTATGAAATAGAGCCCTGTGCACCCTGGCTAGGGCCAGATGCTACTAAGGTAACGTATTTTGCATAGCTATGGGAATAAAAGAAATTCAATACTGACTATACTAACGACAGGAGTCAGTGATGAGAACACATCTAATGCTACGTCCTAGAGTCTACTAGGAACTTTCCGAAGAAATGGGTAGGAAGAAGTGGGTAGGAAGAAGTGGGTAGGAAGAAGTAGATAGGAAGAAGTGGGTAGGAAGAACAGGAAAACAGCACTTTGCGGCAAGAGGACAAGAAAAATACCAAAAAAATACCAAAAAGGCCTATAATTATGGTGAAATATAATCATTTTCATGGTAGACCATCTAATGTCTCTCTCACATACTTCAAAGAAGTACGCAAATACACACGTGCGGGCGCACGCACACACTCACACACACACACACGCGCGCACACACACACACGCGCACACACACACACACACAAACACACGTACACCTCAGACCTCAGACATGCCCATCGCGGGAGCGATGATAGCGAACAGCTATGTTAGACATAGCAACTTGTGCTGGGATTACACCATTCAACAGCTTGCAAGGCTGATGAATTGACCGCCACTATTTTTAGCCTGGTATCCACCACACAGCTGTTTGAAGTGACTTTTTCTGGCCAGTGAATCCCTATTTTTCATTTTTCCATTTTTTTTTTCTTTTTTTTTTTTTCTTTTTTTCTACACACACACCACACCACATACTCCGGCATACACTGGCTGTTGGTAACCACCCAGGAGAATGAAAGAAAAGTCAGGAAGAGTCTGAGAAAGAGAAGAAAGACGTGTGTGACCATAATCGTCGGGAATCGAACCCGCAACCTATCGATTGGAAATCGCTGCACATACCACTGCACCATATGGGACACACACACACATACACACACACACACACATACACACACACACACACATACATACATACATTATAATAGATAGATATGCAGTAACAGTTGTGCAGTCTCTAGTGGGTGTGCTGTCTAAAGAAGTACTGCCGCATACGTGGCAGCCGAAACAAGTAGCGAAGTGTGATGACAATTGTGTCGGTCCCAGTCTTGAATAACAGTAGCAATTCCTTCCTTTGTTGCGTAATAGCCTGGGATCCACCCAATATCTTTCCCACAATCACTCAATTCAATATAGTAAGCAATACTGAGTGGCGGGTCTACCACATACCCCCGCTAGCTGGTGGCATACCCCCGCTAGCTGGTGGCATACCCCCGCTAGCTTGTGGCATACCCCCGCTAGCTGGTGGCATACCCCCGCTAGCTGGTGGCATACCCCCGCTAGCAGGTGGCATACCCCCGCTAGCTGGCGGCATACCCCCGCTAGCTGGCGGCATACCCCCGCTAGCTGGTGGCATACCCCCGCTAGCTGGTGGCATACCCCCGCTAGCTGGTGGCATACCCCCGCTAGCTGGTGGCATACCCCCGCTAGCTGGTGGCATACCCCCGCTAGCTGGTGGCATACCCATGCCTGATAGAGCAGGCAGCATGGCCGTCGAGATGCTGGCAGCAGCAGGTTGTATGGCCGGGACGCTGGCAGGAGAAGAAACCGCAGGAGCAATCCAGCTCCAGTCGCTCGAGTCGATAGCTGGCAAAGCACCGATTTGATTGCTAACATCTATGCCCTTCTCCTTGATGATAAAGAAGTGCTTGAGCAGCAGGAAGCACCACAATGGACGCGGGTACTGCTGGCATCTTTCCCTTGCCATAAGAGGTGACATGATGGAAACCTTCAATGTCCTGCAGGTGCACATACACAAGAACACATGCACGCACACACGTGAACACACGCACAAAAAGTTAAACAGATAAGCACACACGCACATACACAATACAATGCAATATGCCCATCCGGAGATGATAGCAGGTCCCGATGGGACCAACAGTGTTCAAGTCACGAGCAAAAGAGGGCGTGGCGAGTCAAGTCCTGGCGACGGCGATAGCGCTTCCAACAGTGCAAACGAAGCACACACGCACGCACGCACGCACACACGCACACACACACACACACACACACCCGCGCGCGTTTCAGAGGTGACACAGGCTGTGTAAATTTCACTATTCTTATCGTAACTTTGCGTTGTATTTTCATCTTCTTGTTTCCCTGCTTCCGTAGCACATGTGCTCGGGATGCACCAGTGCCAACAACATCATCGTGGTCGATTAACAAAAGAAAAAGAAAAAGCACATTACTATCTCTGTTGTCCAGGCGGTCAGGGACCAGGCACAGTCCACCACTTGTGAATGTCCAGAACTCTACATCATATACTTGTACATGTACGTATTGATGTGGAAGTGCCAGAGATCTGGCATGTCACATCACTATTTCCACAAAAATGGGAGAGGAGTAGTAATATGGCAAAAGAGTAGTTATATGGCAAGAGAGTAGTAATATGGCAAAAAGTAGTAATATGGCAAAAAAAGTAGTAATATGGCAAAAAAGTAGTAATATGGCAAAAAAGTAGTAATATGGCAAAAAAGTAGTAATAATGCAAAATATACAAATAATCTACGTGGAGATAAAAGTTTAATAATAGCAATGAAAAGTATGAATGCCGCAGACATCACCACGCAACATGACAATTTGTTCAAGGTTTGGTTTTGTGTGTTTCCAAAATCGATTTTCACGTTGCGATCATCAGTGGAAATACGCAACTAAAGAGATCAAGGGAAAAACAAAGGTTAAAAATCCAAAGAAGTGTGACACAGTCACTGTGGCCGGAGTTTTACGTTCGTTTTGTCGACGACTCGTTCACATATTTTGATTCAGTACAACAGTGTGACGCCTTCTTGGACCGATTGAATAACTTACATCCCTCTCTGAAATTCACGGTTGAGCATGAACAGAACAACACCTTGTCCTTTCTAGATGTGCGTGTGGAGAAGTCAAACGATGAAATTGTAACGTCAATATACAGGAAACCAACATTTACCGGACAATATATCGTCTTTGACTCGTATTGTTCGTACCTGTATAAGGTCAACCTTGTGAAGAATCTGGTGGATAGAGCGCGGCGAATCTGTTCCCCCTCTCGACTCAAGGATGAGCTAGGTTTTCTGAAATCTGTGTTTCTCAAAAATGGTTACCCGGAGGAACTGCTAAACAAGCTACTAAAATCAGCATCAAAACCAAAGGTCGTCATCATTGGTCCAAGTCGTTGCCCAGTCTACCTTTCCTTACCTTGGAAAGGAGAGGCATCACAGACATTGTGCCGCACAATCAAAACGCTAGTTACACAAACATACTTTGCGGCGCACTTCATCCCTGTGTTCACTACGATACGTGCGTTCACGGTGAGGAAGGATGTCCTACCATCCCACCTATTGAGCCACTTGGTCTACCAATTTGAGTGCCGGAATTGTGATAGCCGGTACGTTGGTAGGACCCTTCAACACCTGAGCGCACGTATCAAGCAGCATGTACCACTTCACATGCTGCAGGACGCAGCAAAAGCGAAGCGCCCGAAGCGGGGAAGACCACGCAAGAACCCGCTCCCTCTACCACCGACACAACCAGAGCAAGTCGAACACACGGTGCAGAGGAAGAGTGGTGGATCACTAAGCCAACCGAATGTGCCTTCTCCACCGTTGCCCTTGCCGCCGCCGGAGCCACCACCAGTGCCGTTGGTGGCTGGGGTTGGGGAGGAGTTGGCAACAACAACAGTACCGCCAATCACAGAAATTGAGCCCATTTCTTTGACACAGTATCCGGCTGTGCGGACACCGCAGCACCCTCCGGCGATTGATCCGTGGGTCCAGAGACCACGGAGGTCGACCGCCAATTATTCAACCGAAATATATGCTAGGAATGGCCAAGGCCCACGCGGAGCATCGAAGGAGACCGGAAGCCGGGGGCAAAACGGAACACAATCTCGGGACGTAGATGAGGTAAGGACAGTGGCACGGGACAGACGTAGGAAGGAGAACATGGATGGTATCAGACGACTGACTGGTGGTGAATATGAGTTGGGTGATGATGCGGCGGATGACGAGAATACAGATGACGACGAGGCGGATGACGGCGAGGATACAGATGACGACGAGGCGGGTGATGACGAGGCGGCGGATGAAGACGAGGCGGATGACGGTGAGACGGCTGGTGGTGATGGTGATAAAACGGACGAGGAGGAGTCAGGTGGCAGGGAAGGTGATGGAGCTGATGAGGGTGAAATTCGTAAGAAGTCAGCTGTGTATTTGCATTTGTTATCTCGTCCCGATTGTTTGAGTGTGTATGATGATTCCCACTTCTCTGTACTGTGTCGTGCTCGTTATGTCCAGCAGTTGAAGGTCCTTGAAGCTGTTTGTATTCGTACGCATAAGCCCGATTTGTGTAAGCAAAAAGAACATGTTTTAGCACTTAGGTTATTTTCGTGAGTTTGCACCCCGTGTTCATGAGTTGTTTCTGCACTGTTCATGCCCGTTTGTCACACTTACTCTTTATTTTAGTTCTCACTTTTTGTAATACTTACCACAAGTTACCCGTCATGTGTCACACTTCTTTGGATTTTTAACCTTTGTTTTTCCCTTGATCTCTTTAGTTGCGTATTTCCACTGATGATCGCAACGTGAAAATCGATTTTGGAAACACACAAAACCAAACCTTGAACAAATTGTCATGTTGCGTGGTGATGTCTGCGGCATTCATACTTTTCATTGCTATTAATAATGCAAAAAGTAGTAATATGGCAAAAAAGTAGTAATATGACAAGAGAGTAGTAATATGACAAGAGAGTAGTAATATGACAAGAGAGTAGTAATATGACAAGAGAGTAGTAATTATTTTCACTAAAATACACCTACAGGGTGCCCGGCAGACCGAGGTGTCCATAACCTCGAGGTCCGGATAGCAGAGATGTGTGTGTGTGTGTGTGTGTGTGTGTGTGTGTGTGTGTGTATGTGTGTGTATGTGTGTGTGTGTGTGTGTGTGTGTGTGTGTGTGTGTGTGTGTGTGTGTGCCAGCTAGTTCGGTTGGTGGGTACACTTATGCCTGATTGTGTTGGGTCTGTTGCCAATGGGCTCGGCTACTTGAAGGTGTTATGTTGTACCTGCCACCTTTGTTCGTTCCAGGGTTCATATACTTTCTATTAGAAGTATACATACCTGTTAACCATGGACTGCTTCTGGCTAGATTAACTCTTGTGTAATCAATGGTGCTAGTCACGCTTATATCAGATCCACTCTGATTTGCCACCCACACTAGTAGCAAGTATTACCTTCACTGGGGGCAGGGGAAACTGCAGTTGGATCCCGGGACGGATACCCTGATGTCGTCAATCATTTTTTCTGCACCGTGTCCTCACCCACTTACTGAGGTGTGGTGAACCCATAAGTGGGATCATTTTCAAGTCCATCCAGAGTTTTGGGGATTTCAGGGGGTGTCGGCCGTTGGGCGGTTCAATAGCCAATTGAGTCATCTTTCCAAGATTCCTTTTGAGTCTCTCTCCCCTCTCCCGGGCAGACCCACGTGACCAGTTTTGGCAGTGAGCAACAAGTAAGTACAAGTAAGTGTGTGTGTGTGTGTGTGTGTGTGTGTGCGTGCGTGCGTGCGTACGTACGTGCGTGCGTGCGTGTGTGTGTGGTCGCATTATTTATATTTTTACTCACCGCTCAGAAGTGCCACACTGTTTCTCCTGACAGAAGTGACTTAGAACACGAACAAGCCCATCTTCGCTCTGCAGAGTGTCGCACATCCGAGCAGCACGCAGGATCACATCCGAATGCCCAGCACCGACATACTGGCAGCACAGCTTCCATAACTCGGCCAGACCCACAGCCGGCTCGATAGTGCCGAACGGCGATGATGCCACGGCAAGTGTATCTCTTCTTTCAGCCAGCATACACAAACACTTGTCCGCACGGTCAACAAGGAACTTCTTCACCTCCTGAAAAATAAAACAAGAAAATGGATGAACAGAAGAATTTTGAATATACACGACGAATGGGACACAATATTTAGCTGGTTTTCAAAGCGAATGGAACACACAATTTAGGTTTTCAAGTTCCAGAACGAACGGAACACACGATTTAGCAGGCTTTCGTGAAGTAACGTAATTCCGGAACAATCTATCAAATTCAAGCAGGTTGATGGAGAGCAATAAACACCACAGACTTACAGTCTTGCCGGCACTGAATCAAATACAGAATTACAGATGATCAAATTGTGGTGACAACTAGCAACGTACCCAATGAACGGCGGTCATTCAAAACGAGAGAGCTTGGAAGCTCAGGGCCCTACGCTATGCTTTTTTGCCTTGATGACCTAGACAAAAAAAAAGCATAGGGATGTTATAAATTCTTTAAAAAATTCCTTTTTTTTAGACATAACCTGGGATTCGAACCCGCACTATCGCGCGCCCTGCATTCATCCCCCGATGCACTTCGCATACATACTAATTCTTCCAAGTTGTTTCACATTGTGATCTTGCATTTGAAAGCCCTATTTGAGTTATATGCATTGTGGCCAGCCGTCTTTGATGGCACGGTACGGTAGGGGATAGGGACGGGACAGGTACGATCGAGGGTAATACGACACCGTCTCCCGTACCGTACCGTACCATCAAACACAGCTGGCCACATACAGCTTCCCGCAATATTCAAATAGGGCTTTCAAACGCAAGATAATAACGTAACGCAACTTGGAAGAATGGGTATGAATGCGAAGTGTATGGGGGAATGCATGTAGGGCGATAGTGCGGGTTCGAATCCCAGGATATGCCTGAAAAAAAGGAGAATTGAAAAATTTATAACATCCTATGCTTTTTTGCCGTCAGATACGGATAGCGCCAGGCGTGACACAAACAAATACACAAACAAACACCAAATTAAAGCTGTGTGGACCCTGGCTAGCGCCAGACGTTACTGAAGTAACGTCTTCTGCATAGCTACGGGAATAAAATGATTTCCTTAAACATTGCACGACATTGACCGACGGTAGTTAGTTGTAGAACGTCAGTATTTATTAAAACTGGAGTATATCCTGACGAAAGTGTCTGCTCCGAACGTCGGAGCTCGCGCTTCCTGCCGACTGACTTGAGGGGTGAATTCCCCGAAACACTGTGTATTGAGCAGGGAGTTGTGCTTTCTTGCAGGTTTGCCAAGTGAAAGATTTGACGTGCTTCTCGTGTGCTCCACGCGCAGTCGTGAGTCAGTCAAGTGCCAAGTCTGTCGGCAGGAAGCGCGAGCTCCAGCATTCGGAGCAGACACTTTCTTCATTAATCACCGGCGATGTCGCAACATCATTCGCACTGGAGTATATCCTATTGTAAGAAAGAAAAGAAAAAGGACCAGGGAAATACAAGTTACGCTAACATCACCAGTTACCGAACAATCAGCTCATGCGCTAACATCGGACGACACTGACAGACGGTAATGAGCTGATGAGCTGAACTGATTGTTAAGTAACTGGTGGTGTTAGTGCACATTATAGCGTAACTTGTAGTTCCTTGGTCCTGTTTTTCTTTTTCATAAATATACCCTTGGCTCTCCATCCGAGTCCTTTATATCCGATTAGGGAACAATATATTACAGCTTCTTCAAACCGAATCCATAGGAGCTAGCCAGCAGAGATCCTACAAAATTGCCTTTGCATGCCCCAAGTTCAAGAATAAATCTGCATCACTTCGAATAGGCCGAAAAGGGAGAATGTCAAAGTACTGTAAAGCGTGAAATTTTCGCCGCGTTTTTAGTTCGCGTTTTCAGAATCCGGACAGGTTTGCGAGGTTTTAATTTTGCGATTGCAGAATGGCGTTCTTGCTAAACCTGTGGCATTCTTGCTAAACCTTTCATGGATCTCCTTTTCGCGCTGTCTAAATTTCGCGATTTCCACGCGGTCGCGAATTTCGCAGAAATTAGACTATCGCAATTATTTCAAGGTTTACAGTACTGGGATTCATATCATTGTACTCAGCATCCAGAAGACTACAGCTATCGGAGTTTTTATTTTCACCCTGAAGTACCGTAGACTTCCTCTTTGAAAGACTTGTCAGATACCGACGCAAATTGGGACGCAAAAGGGAACCAAACAAACGGCAAATTGAGTCATCTTTCCAGGATCCCTTCAGAATCTCTCTCCAATCTACGGGGAGACACGTGAGCAGTTTCCGGCCGTGAGCAAGCGCCAGTACAGGTGCAAATGTGTGTGTGTGTGTGTTCATGCGTGGGCAATCCCGCTTCTGCCCCGTCTGACACCGCTACCAGCCTGATCGTGGATGGATGTTCAAGGTTCAGGGTGAGCGTGCACATATAAAATACGAGTGTTTGTGTGTCTGGGCCATCAAAGGCCTACGTCCTGTGCGTCCCTAGCTTGTAGATTGTTTCATTCGTCTTCGGAAATGAGAATACGTTTCTACCGATATGAAAAGACTAACCGGAGGAAGTGACGGGTCTTTGGCCATCTCCGCTTTCTTCTCCCAGAGCGCCACTTGCTTCCTCGCTACAGCATTCTGTTGTCCTTCGAGCTGTGTAAAATCCCATCCGCACGCACATACCGCACACGTCCAAACAGACACAAGCGAAACCGCCAAAGCACAGAAACAAACACTTTGAAGATACGATTTTTCTTCAAAGAAAATAGAGCGCTTAAAGAATAGGACTTGAGCTTGCACAAGTTAGCAATGGAACGAGACTAAACACACTATTTTTCTTCAGCTGGTGCATAGAAAGTAGAAACTGGCACCCATCTACATGCACGCATGCACACACGCACACATGTACAGTGAAACCTGCCTAAGGCGACCCCTCAAGGGACGAGAAAAAGTGGTCGGCGTGGCCAGGTGGTCTTCTTATCCAGGTTCAGTGGGTCACGTGACCTTATCCACATGTGATACATCATTTTGATCAGTGCATCACACCTATGCTACTCTAGCACGGCCAGTGTTCCTGGGGTCCGCAGACCTGTCAAATGCCGTACATGCACCATGCATGCACATGTACATCTACACTTCCTGCACTGATGTGTCGATCTACCATGCCTGGTGGCTGGTGCACCATGCAATGCGTACATTTACATGACTAGCACTGTGCAACGCGGTCGCGGGTGGGTGGTCGTCGGACGCGTTGAGCGAGTGGTCGCCTTATCCAAGGTGTTTTGAATGTGAATGCGTCCGCGACAAGGAAAAGTGGTCGCCATGGTCGAGTGGTCGCCATATCCGAGTGGTCGCCATATCCGAGTGGTCGCCATATCCGAGTGGTCGCCATATCCGAGTGGTCGCCATATCCGAGTGGTCGCCATATCCGAGTGGTCGCCATTACAGGTTTTATTGTACGCACAGAAAAGAAGTTGGAATTCCTATCTCAGCAAAGGCTGTGTGCAAGAAATCACTGAAGAGTTTTAAAGGGGAAGTTAAGGCAAAAATTAAAATTTCACCAGTTGTAGTCTTCGGGGTGCTGAGTCGAATGGTCGTGGTCCGAGGAAGCTGAGACGCTCCCTTCCTACTTGAATCCCAATCGAACTCGCGCACTTCCACCGAAACTGGGTGACTGCGCCCTACTAGATGGGGATTTGTATGCAAAATGTCACTAAAAGCGCCATTTCGTTCTTATAAAAGCACGGATGACCGCGATTGGCCCATATGTTGTAGTCTTTTGGACGCTGAGTCGACTGGTTTTGGTCCGAAAAGGCTGCGATGCAGCGTTCCGCCTTTATTCCCAATCGAACATGGTTGAACAAGCGGTCACGTGCTCCTGCGTACGCCAGTCACCTGGTCACGGTGCCTGCAGGGTACAACTTACTAGCCTGTTTGACCTTTTTTGGGTGCAGTCCTGTCACTCGAGTTGAACTCGAGTTGAACCTTGGTGTGAAAGTTCTCACCTGCTGGCGTGGTGACCAGGTGATTTGGGCACCCAGGAGCACGTGACCACTTGTTCAACCATGTTCGATTGGGAATAAAGGAGGAACGCTGCATCGCAGCCTTTTCGGACCAAAACCAGTCGACTCAGCGTCCAAAAGACTACAACATATGGGCCAATCGCGGTCATCCGTGCTTTTATAAGAACGAAATGGCGCTTTTAGTGACATTTTGCATACAAATCCCCATCTCGTAGGGCGCAGTCACCCAGTTTCGGTGGAAGTGCGCGAGTTCGATTGGGATTCAAGTAGGAAGGGAGCGTCTCAGCTTCCTCGGACCACGACCATTCGACTCAGCACCCCGAAGACTACAACTGGTGAAATTTTAATTTTTGCCTTAACTTCCCCTTTAACTTGATGAAGTTGTTTGTTTGTTCGTGCGTGGAACACACGCTTCCTGCCGTGCTTCACACTTGACTGACTCACAACTGCCAAATCCGGAGCACACGAGGAGCACGTTACACTTTCCCTGATGACTGATGTGCTCCTCGTGTGCTCCAGACTGCAGTCGTGAGTCCGTCAAGTGTCCTGTTCGGCAGGAAGCGGGCATTTCAACGGGACAAGCAACTTCATCCGCTGATACCGGCAAAGTTGGAAATTCTAATTTTGTTCAAAGTCGGAGAATGTGAAATCGGAGGCGAGTGGTGCAATAATCTAATTAGTTGGCCTGTAGCAATGTCCTTGCAGTTACGTGGCAGACAACGATGGAAGTGAAGAAACTGGGCGCGTTGCATCTCCCAGCAGTTGTCCGTTTTCTCAAGATAACAATCCAAATTGGTGATGCACAAGTAATATAGGGAACAACTGACAAATCTCAAACAATGTTTTCTGAAGCGGCTGCACCACCGTGGAGCTAGCGCACCATAATACATGTCAAGCAGATTTCGTTTTTGGGTTTTGATCAGGGCAATGCCAATGAATTAACTCCATGGTCACTAGAATGTTTAGACTTTGGTCTCATCTCTTACCTGGAAAGTGCTACCTTCGAACTAGTCAGGGAGCCGACCTTCAAAAAAGTGGCGCTCCAGGTCGGGCGAGATGGAGTACAAGATCTCTTCAGCAATGGGTTATGGGTCTATCAGAGAAGGGCTTTCGAGTTCTTGGCCACCGTCAGTTCACTGCATCTGCAATGTCTTGACACCGAGGTGCTGCTGGCCGTGCAATCAATGCCAATGGTCAACTGCATACTAGCCCAGACAGGCAGATACAGGGGTTGCAGTGCTGGCAAGTGCATTGGCGCTTATTATAGGACCATCGCAAAAGTTCCCACAAGCCCCTGAAACATGGAAACGAAGAGCATACGTTTGGGGGGGGGGGGGGGGGGAGGGAGTCGGTGTCGAAAATCGCAAACCGGGCTTCAAAAAAGTATTGACGACATGTAGGAGCTGATACATGTATAGATTAGCATGCCATCACAGCCGGCGTAGATCGCTTGTCAGGACGCGTAGTCCATTCATGCAACTGCGCGTGTTAATGCTCAAAGGATACAACTGCATAGCTCTAGCTGTTCTCGTTCTTAGACCACCCACTGCAAGGTGATACCATCGTTGCATTTATAAAGTGCTGTACATTGTTACACACTGATACAACAATGCTTGTGTAGTATAATTAAAATTATGTTTGAGCATCCAAGTGAAATAATGAAGCCCATAATTATTGTGACTGTCGTTTCGTTTGAGGGGGGAGGGAGGGGGGTCAGGCCCGAAACTAACGGTCTTCGTTTCGGGGGCTTCTGTGAACTTTTGCGATGGTCCCTTATTACGGGCTTTTACGGTACTCGCCGATGTATGTCAGAATGTGACAACCCGCTCAGCAGCATTAGAGTTAGAGTAAGTTAGACCCTTCGCACGAGAGGGGTCGAGACGGGGCATGCTGTGCACGCGCTGCACACTTGGCATGCAACCAGCATGCATGGTTTGCTGCAGGACGTGATCAAGTTAGTTTCCTGTGACAGGCTGAGTTTTCACGGTCCCGACGCGATGTTCATGTATGTACTCCCCAGCCTTTTTTCATTTGAAGTTTTTTTAGTTCTGAAGGAAGAAGTGCCGAAACGCTTTCCAAGGACCAATTTTGGGTTCTTGTTTGCAGCAACCGTCATCCCTAGTCTAAGAAACCCCACTTGTCTTTCCATGCGTTCCCTGGTGATGCTGGCATTCCACACTCTTGAATCCCCAAACTCCTGGCTATCTGGTGAGAAGAGGGCCGCAGTTTGCTGCGATATCGTTCACAGTGTTGTGCTCGGAACACTTTGTCGATGACGACTTTCATCCTTGCTTTTGCTAAGATGCGGAACGCCCTGCCAAGAGACTCTGGAGCTTGGGAAAAAGGCATGACCCATCCCTGTCTTCGCTATTCAAGGAAGATAGACTGCTTGCTGGCGCTGCTCGAGCTGCTGATGCAGAGAGACGCAGCCTCATCGCTCAGGTGTGCGGAGAAAGTCATCTGAGTTCGAGCTGTGGCTGTGTGCACGATATGACAGACTTTCACATTATGCACATAGCCACCAAAGTAAAACTCATAGACACTATCCACGGGCTTTTCACTAGTACTACTCCATCAGCTCTCTCTTCACTGTCGTCGGCGACTTGCCCCTGCGTTGGAGATGAGCAAGCATGGTGTGGCACTCACTCTGGGAAACCTGAGAGGTTCATCACTCATCCATTTGGACGCATGAAATGTTGGGCATGATGAAGGTACACTCGGAAGTGGTGCCCTTCTTAGTTCTAGGAGCATCAGGGTTCTGCGCAGAGAAGTGTTCTCTACATCGACAGAGGAGAGAAGGTAAAGAAAAGAAAAAGAAATTTCAAACTACAGTACATGTAATCCGAAATATCCACTGAATGCGGAAAACTTACCTCTCCAACAACTCCTTCTTTTTCCAGACAGATACACACCCTCATTCAGCAGAAAACTGTTCAGTCCCTTCACAGACCATTCTTCATTTGATAGTTCGTCCACGGGTTCCACAGCCATCGATGGCAAACCGGCACTCGACACTCTCTCCTCCATCTCCAAAATGGAAAAATACAGTGTTCCACCATGCTCAACAACTGATAGTAGTGATACTCTGCACAAAAATCGAAGAGGATGCCCCGTCTCGGATCACGTGACCGTTATTGTGCAAAGGGTCTAAGACTTAAAAACTTACCTCTCCAACAACTCCTTCTTTTTCCAGACAGATACACACCCTCATTCAGCAGAAAACTGTTCAGTCCCTTCACAGACCATTCTTCATTTGATAGTTCGTCCACGGGTTCCACAGCCATCGATGGCAAACCGGCACTCGACACTCTCTCCTCCATCTCCAAAATGGAAAAATACAGTGTTCCACCATGCTCAACAACTGATAGTAGTGATACTCTGCACAAAAATCGAAGAGGATGCCCCGTCTCGGATCACGTGACCGTTATTGTGCAAAGGGTCTAAGACTTAAAGGGGAAGTTAAGGCAAAAATTAAAATTTCACCAGTTGTAGTCTTCGGGGTGCTGAGTCGAATGGTCTTGGTCCGAGGAAGCTGAGACGCTCCCTTCCTACTTGAATCCCAATCGAACTCGCGCACTTCCACCGAAACTGGGTGACTGCGCCCTACGAGATGGGGATTTGTATGCAAAATGTCACTAAAAGCGCCATTTCGTTCGTATAAAAGCACGGATGACCGCGATTGGCCCATATGTTGTAGTCTTTGGGACGCTGAGTCGACTGGTTTTGGTCCGAAAAGGCTGCGATGCGGCGTTCCTCCTTTATTCCCAATCGAACATGGTTGAAGAAGCGGTCACGTGCTCCTGCGTACACCAGTCACCTGGTCACCGTGCCTGCAGGGTACAACTTACTAGCCTGTTTGACCTTTTTTGGGTGCAGTCCTGTCACTCGAGTTGAACCCGAGTTGAACCTTGGTGTGAAAGTTGTCACCTGCTGGCGTGGTGACCAGGTGATTTGGGCACCCAGGACCACGTGACCGCTTCTTCAACCATGTTCGATTGGGAATAAAGGAGGAACGCTGCATCGCAGCCTTCTCGGACCAAAACCAGTCGACTCAGCGTCCCAAAGACTACAACATATGGGCCAATCGCGGTCATCCGTGCTTTTATAAGAACGAAATGGCGCTTTTAGTGACATTTTGCATACAAATCCCCATCTCGTAGGGCGCAGTCACCCAGTTTCGGTGGAAGTGCGCGAGTTCGATTGGGATTCAAGTAGGAAGGGAGCGTCTCAGCTTCCTCGGACCAAGACCATTCGACTCAGCACCCCGAAGACTACAACTGGTGAAATTTTAATTTTTGCCTTAACTTCCCCTTTAACTTGATGAAGTTGTTTGTTTGTTCGTGCGTGGAACACACGCTTCCTGCCGTGCTTCACACTTGACTGACTCACAACTGCCAAATCCGGAGCACACGAGGAGCACGTTACACTTTCCCTGATGACTGATGTGCTCCTCGTGTGCTCCAGACTGCAGTCGTGAGTCCGTCAAGTGTCCTGTTCGGCAGGAAGCGGGCATTTCAACGGGACAAGCAACTTCATCCGCTGATACCGGCAAAGTTGGAAATTCTAATTTTGTTCAAAGTCGGAGAATGTGAAATCGGAGGCGAGTGGTGCAATAATCTAATTAGTTGGCCTGTAGCAATGTCCTTGCAGTTACGTGGCAGACAACGATGGAAGTGAAGAAACTGGGCGCGTTGCATCTCCCAGCAGTTGTCCGTTTTCTCAAGATAACAATCCAAATTGGTGATGCACAAGTAATATAGGGAACAACTGACAAATCTCAAACAATGTTTTCTGAAGCGGCTGCACCACCGTGGAGCTAGCGCACCATAATACATGTCAAGCAGATTTCGTTTTTGGGTTTTGATCAGGGCAATGCCAATGAATTAACTCCATGGTCACTAGAATGTTTAGACTTTGGTCTCATCTCTTACCTGGAAAGTGCTACCTTCGAACTAGTCAGGGAGCCGACCTTCAAAAAAGTGGCGCTCCAGGTCGGGCGAGATGGAGTACAAGATCTCTTCAGCAATGGGTTATGGGTCTATCAGAGAAGGGCTTTCGAGTTCTTGGCCACCGTCAGTTCACTGCATCTGCAATGTCTTGACACCGAGGTGCTGCTGGCCGTGCAATCAATGCCAATGGTCAACTGCATACTAGCCCAGACAGGCAGATACAGGGGTTGCAGTGCTGGCAAGTGCATTGGCGCTTATTATAGGACCATCGCAAAAGTTCCCACAAGCCCCTGAAACATGGAAACGAAGAGCATACGTTTGGGGGGGGGGGGGGGGGGGAGGGAGTCGGTGTCGAAAATCGCAAACCGGGCTTCAAAAAAGTATTGACGACATGTAGGAGCTGATACATGTATAGATTAGCATGCCATCACAGCCGGCGTAGATCGCTTGTCAGGACGCGTAGTCCATTCATGCAACTGCGCGTGTTAATGCTCAAAGGATACAACTGCATAGCTCTAGCTGTTCTCGTTCTTAGACCACCCACTGCAAGGTGATACCATCGTTGCATTTATAAAGTGCTGTACATTGTTACACACTGATACAACAATGCTTGTGTAGTATAATTAAAATTATGTTTGAGCATCCAAGTGAAATAATGAAGCCCATAATTATTGTGACTGTCGTTTCGTTTGAGGGGGGAGGGAGGGGGGTCAGGCCCGAAACTAACGGTCTTCGTTTCGGGGGCTTCTGTGAACTTTTGCGATGGTCCCTTATTACGGGCTTTTACGGTACTCGCCGATGTATGTCAGAATGTGACAACCCGCTCAGCAGCATTAGAGTTAGAGTAAGTTAGACCCTTCGCACGAGAGGGGTCGAGACGGGGCATGCTGTGCACGCGCTGCACACTTGGCATGCAACCAGCATGCATGGTTTGCTGCAGGACGTGATCAAGTTAGTTTCCTGTGACAGGCTGAGTTTTCACGGTCCCGACGCGATGTTCATGTATGTACTCCCCAGCCTTTTTTCATTTGAAGTTTTTTTAGTTCTGAAGGAAGAAGTGCCGAAACGCTTTCCAAGGACCAATTTTGGGTTCTTGTTTGCAGCAACCGTCATCCCTAGTCTAAGAAACCCCACTTGTCTTTCCATGCGTTCCCTGGTGATGCTGGCATTCCACACTCTTGAATCCCCAAACTCCTGGCTATCTGGTGAGAAGAGGGCCGCAGTTTGCTGCGATATCGTTCACAGTGTTGTGCTCGGAACACTTTGTCGATGACGACTTTCATCCTTGCTTTTGCTAAGATGCGGAACGCCCTGCCAAGAGACTC